GATGGAGGATTTTTTCACAACAATCCGCCGGTTCGTTGCTTGGGTCAGGTCGGTGTGATTGTACGACGTAAAAACTGCTGTTCTAGCAAAGGAACAAGAACGGTAGTTGAACTGCGGTTGGCTTCGAAGCAGGACGAAGAAAGGAACGACTTTATCATGTTCTGGGTAAAGGGGTCCGTTGTAGATGCAGCGACCAAGTCGAAGAAATGGGCCCGGTTAGACAAATTGGTTAAGCATGAGCCATTTATTCCAGCCCAATAGTTTTTCGTGTTGGAGCCAAAATAAGACTTCCGTTATACAGTCCAACATGCGGCGTGAAGGAACGAGGGAAAGACATGCTTTCGGAGAGGAACACTTCAGTCTCTGTTACAGTAAGCGTGTCTTATAGCAAAAGTGTTGCAGAGAACTGAATGCGGTAGATATCACAAGTCATAGACGTTCTACTTATGAACTCAGGTCAGTAAGATGATCACGACAAACAAATTTTTTGTGGTTCATCTGCTGGATGTTATTATTTGCAGCTTTGGTACAACACGATGCTAGATGCTTTGATCTTTTACGACATCACTTCACGAAATATTCTTGGAATGAGGCGATACATGCTGGTCACTAATAAACTGTTGTTAAAAATCGCTGATTTGAAAAAAACGCAAAAATCATAGAAGTCGACACCTGGGCTTGTACAACCAAGCAGTCTGTAAAGCCTATTTAAAAGCAATCAAAACAAAATACCTAGATGCATTAGTGGGTTGAGGAGGAGAAATCTGTTCAGAGGTGCGAAACGGTTGCTCAGTGTGTCATGAATCTTATTAGAGACTGCTGTTTTGGAAACTGATTTTGTTTATCATTTTGGATGGAGAGGCCATAATCTGCGTAAAAATTAAACTGCTTGACTCAGGATGGTTAGTGATGCTCCTACCGAATTCTTTCAGCGGCGGAATTGCTATTTTCAATGTCCAGCAAGGTTTTGTTTTAGTTCTTCCTGTCACTTTATGGCCATTCGCTGCCGGTGCTGTGCCTGGACGCGAGCGACGACAGTGAGCTGATTATAACCGGCTCTGCTGACAAAAACGTCAAAATATGGGGACTGCAGTTCGGCGATTGCCATCGTACACTGTTTGCTCATGACGAAAGGTAGGAACGGTTCCACCAAAATCTTTTGCATGTTTAAAGTTTAGAAGTTGATTGCGGACTACTTTCAAATTCTCTGATTGTACCCAAATAAACGTTACCATTTTCCTGATGAATATAATCTGATTGTTTCTGTATTTTAGTGTAACATGCGTTCGTTTTGTCGCCAAAACGCACCTGTTTTTCTCAGCCGGCAAAGACGGTATGGTAAAGCAATGGAATGCGGATAAATTCGAGTTAATACAGACCTTAGAAGTAAGCAACTTTTGCCTATGACAGTTGAACGTTTACTACCACCTAATCAGATGCGCTGTTTTATCATACCTTTGCGGCCGTGAAGATAGATCATTTTATTCGTACGCCGTTAGCCATGGCCACGTTAATGGTAATGTTAATTAGTAAGTACCGTAACGTTCGCAATTTCGTAAGGTGACTAAAATTTCGAACATCGTTGCAAAAGACTTAATGAAAGGTAATTTGTGGGTAATTTTTGTAACGGGAATGAGAGAACAGATATCGTTAATTTCTCGACCAGTTAGCAATGGGGTGTGCATGCGCTGCTGTAATGTGGTTCCTTGGGGCATGACCTGTTAAACTGGCCTCCTATCCTTCTTGCGATGCTAGATGACTTAAAACTTTGAAATATTTAGTGACGGTTTTTCTCTTCGGCACCATATCTAAGTTATGATGCCTCTAGGGATGCAGCTCTCTGTGTATACATTTATTTCATATAGTAAAACTCCGTTATTTGAGGTTAGCGGGATTTCGGTAGACAAAAATTCACCAAAAGCGCGTTATTGGCAACTCTATGTTAAAGAATGAGATAATAAAAACCCGTTAAAGTATACTTTATAACAGAATTAATGGTTAAATAATATAACCGTGATATAGTCTGTTTTAAATGCATGCTATCGTATTTAATCGTAGTTTTCGACAGCCGGGTGTATTATGGATCTCAAGCTCACGCACCTCTTCGTTCTGTCGAGTGATTAATACGATTTCAGACAATATCCAGAACAGCAGTGGCGTTTCTGTTGCAGAGTAAATCCTACTTAGTAATCGGGTTATGCAAAGCGAAGCCAAGACTCGATTATTTCAGGTAACTCCGCTGTTAGCTGCATTGCAGTAAGTTTGCAACAAAGCTGCGTATGTAGGAAAGGATTCTTTTGTTAGATATGACCTGACCGGCAGTTTTCTCTAATCCGCGGCTTTGTGAGGTGCATTATAACGGGGTTTCGCTGTATATTATGCATGTCACAGATGCGGTGTTTTATTTGATTGATCATATATTATATATTCTTTCGCTTTTATTAGGGACACTTTGGTGAAGTTTGGGCCATGGACTTGAGTAATACAGCTAACTTTGTCATTTCTGCGGCTTCAGACTTTTCCATAAGGATGTGGGAAAAGACTGAGGAGATTTTGGTTCTTCAGGAAGAGCGTGAAATTGTAAAATGCCTGCCCTCCATGTGTTATGTCTTATCTGTTTATTATAGGAAAGAGAGAAGGCTATCGAAAATGAAATCCAGTTCAGGGATGATGAAGACGTTGTAAGTGTAAATCGTTTACTTTTGACGAGAATATAGTTATTTCGAAGTTAATGCAGATTACGACTGACACTGCTAATTAAGGTTACTAAGAATTGAATTTCATGGCTGTAAAACGGTTTCTAAGGGCTGAATGTCTTAGCAGTGTTTCAAGCTGCCCAGTTCCTGCAAAGTTCAGTTCTCCAAAAACTGATCAGTTCTGTTGCATCTTAATTTTTTTCTGACGTTCTTCTGCTAAATCTCGAACGCTAGATTATATATTTTAATTTTCTCTGAATGAATTTGCCTAATCGGTTTTATTAAAGGAAATTAAATTTGCTGTTTCATTTGATATCGGTCTGTTACGTTTTTTGACGGATGCTGCTGTTGATATCGTTGTTTTGTTTAGTTTCTACTGATGTGCCAATTTCCACTTTAATTCCGTCAGTTGGAAATATTTTCTGAAGCAGATACCCATTACTGTGCCGTAGATGACTTTAAGGTGCTGGCTCTTCTGATTCCATAATTTACAGCACGAGAAAACAGGATAAAATAATTTATTTGCAACAGTTCCAACGTTTCAACCGAATTGCATCGTTCATCATCAAGGAATGTCGGGGAATCGGCTAATGATTTCCCTGATGATGACCAATTTAGTTGGGTTGAAACGTTGGAATTGTTGTATATTAAACTATTTTGTCTTGTTTTCTCGTGCTGCCAACCATGGAATCAGAGGACCTAGTACCTCCATCAACTGGAAGTCGCGACAGTGTATAACATACTTTTACTTTCTCACGTTGCCTCATTTCTTTGTTTATATTAGAAGTATTAGGGGCACTAAGTTTCACTTGACTGCGCTAGCTCGGGATCTTCTGATTGTCAAGTCGACCCAGTTGATTGAGCTGTTGTGCTGAAAAGAAGACTGAGTAGGTGTCAAAATATTTTATTACAGATTTATGCCAGATTGTTATTGTGCAGATATTAGGAAAACGGCGATATAGTACACAACTGGTTGTGTGATTCTCAGTGGAAGGACGGAAGCTCTGGCGTGTTATTTACTTTATTGTAGTACTTACTAGGCTTACTGATTTGGTTCATAAACATGGATGATGCAGGTTAGCGCGTTAACGTTCAGCGTGCAGCATCTTCATAGCTTCGTATTTTTATGACATTGGAGCACGTTTCGTGGTGAATGCATTTGATTAGATTCGCTTTCGTATTTGCGGCACACTCTTCTCGTGCACTATCGACTGCATCATTTGATTTTCTCACGGCGGTGGTTCGCTGAAGTAATAGCTGTCATCATTCACTGTTTGAGGTACCTGGTGAGCAAACGGGTGAAGTGGCTCTGGCAGCGACTCGTACGACATTGACAGTTAGAAGCGCAGATGACATCGTTGAGGCAATCGACATTTGTAAAGAATATGGTGCAGAAAACGCCGGCCAGGTATATATGCAAAGGTACCGCGTTTTGGTTTTTAAGCTGTTTCGCGTTTCAGTCAACGTTACATCCCCTGATGCAAGCATACAATTGCAGCTCGTCTGAAAATTTTATGATGGAGGTGCTTCGTCGAATCCGTTCCAGGTAGTTAAGACTCCTTCGTTGGTGCTGCAGTTTTCATGATTACCTAGTATAGTGTTTGCAAATCTTTGTTATCATTTAGTGTACTGATTCATTATGCCTATCAGATCACACAAAATTCTATATTTAAATGACATGTAGTGTTACCGTCGCAGATAGCACTGTTATGACAAAGTGAGCAAAGCAAGGCTAATCCTTGTATGCATGAATATTCCTAATGACGCTGCCGTGTCGCTTGTTGCGCTTCGTCAGGTTTTGTCAGATAGTCTCATATTATATCTCAAACTGCATTTTGCGTTAGACGTCAGTTATCTTATTTTGAGATATGCTATATGTTTCAGCGACTTGGAGAAATGCCTGATGTTGGTACCGTTTGGCTACGTTTTCGAAATGTTGGCACTACTTGAACGCGCGCTTCACAGCCACTGCAAAACCCATGTCGAACTGGCAGTTCGATGCATTCTGTTTATTCTCAGGTAACGCTGTGCCAAGGATATCCTTAATTGTTATTCCTTTAGATGAGATTTAACAAACAGGTTTATTAAGATGACGAATACGATTAAAATGTAACCTCTACGGCTCATGCCGATACCGTGTCGTAGATGACTTGAAGATTATGGCCCTTCTTATGCCGTGGATGCCAATAAAGGAAACAAGAAAGTTGTTTTATTTACAAGAATTCAAACCGCCGGGTGTTCTGGTCTGCTACGGCGGCTGATTAGTCTAC